GGGGGGGGGGCCCTGTCCCCCCACCCCCTCCATCTCTCCAGGTCCGGGGGGTGTGGGACGCCCCGGGTGGGTGGTGGGTGGTGGGGGGCAACCTAGGCCTTGCCCTCGGGGGGGTTGTACTCCGTCTCCCCCGCTGAGACCTGGGAGATGCGGCGCGTGGAACGCCACAGCCGCCGGTGGAACTGGCCTGGACGCACCTGGGGGAGGGCAGGGGTGGGGTGGGGTGGGGTGGGGTTGAGAACAGCTGTGCCCCAAGACCCCATGTCCCTGTCCCCAACCCATCCCGCATCCCTTTCCCAGTCCTCATCAACTTCCCGAAGCTTGTCCTCTTCTCCATCTCATCCTCATCTACTTCTCCATCCCCTTCCAGATCTCCATCCCCTTCTCCATCCCCTTTCTCTTCTCCATCCCCTTCTCCATCTTCTTCCCCATCCTCTTCTCCATCTTCATTCCCGTCCTCTTCTCCATCCCCTTCCAGATCTCCATCCCCTTCTCCATCTTCATCCCCGTCCTCTTCTGCATCCCCTTCTCCATCCCCATCCTCTTCTCCATCTCATCCTCATCTCCTTCTCCATCCCCTTCTCCATCTTCTTCCCCATCCCCTTCTCCATTCCCATCCTCTTCTCCATCCCCTTCTCCATCTTCTTCCCCATCCTCTTCTCCATCTCCTTCCAGATCTCCATCCCCTTCTCTATCTCTGTCCTTCATCCCCTCCATCCCCTTCCAGATCCCCATCCCCTTCTCCATCTTCATCCCCATCCTCTTCTCCATCTCCATCCTTCATCCCCATCCCCTTCCAGATCCCCATTCCCTTTCTCCACCTTCATCCCCTTCTCCATCCCCATTCTCCATCTTCATCCTCTTCTCCATCCCTACCCAATCACAAATTGCCATCTGCCTTTCCTTCCCCATCCTCATCTCGCTCTTCATCCTCATCCCCTTCTCCATTCCCACTCCTCATCCCCTTCTGAATCCCCATCCGCTTCTTCATCATCTCCCACCCCTTCCAGCTCTCCATCCTCATCTTCACAGATCATTCTTCACAGATCCCATCTCCTTCCAAACTTGCTTCCCCTCCCCTTCCAAATCCATCCATCATCCTCAGCCCCGTTCCCATCATCATCCACGGCACCTTCCAAACCCCATCCTTTTCTCTCCAGCCATACTCATCCTCATCCTCTTCCTCACCCTCTTCCCCATTCCCATCCCTTCTCTGAATGCCATCCTCTTCCCAACCTTCTCCACCTCCATCCCCTTCCCTATTTCCACCTCCACCATCTCCATCCCCATCTCCACCTCCACCCCCTTCCCTATTTCCACCTCCACCATCTCCATCCCCATCTCCACATCCATCCCCACTTCCACCATCTCCATCCCCATCTCCACCTCCATCCCCTTCCCCATCTCCATCCCCTCCCTTTCCCATATCCCTTCCCCATATCTCCCCCATCCCACCCCACCTCTGCTCTGGAGAGCAAGGAGGACAAGCAGAGGTCCCCAGCCCAGCAGCACCCAGTGAACACCAAGGCATGACACCTCCCCAGCCCCACCACCACCTGGGATGGGGTGGGGGCTCCATGCTCACCTCAGCGGGCTGCCCAGCTCCCACCACGATGAGCTTGCCATCCTCCAACCCCACCAAGATGTGACTCTTCTCCTTGGTGACGGACACGCTGTGGACGGGCACCCGCATGGGCACGGGGGGCACGGCCATCCTGAGGCTGTGAGAAGACGAGTGGTGGGATGGGACCCCTTGAACATCCCCCAAAGGGTTCAAAGGGGTGGGACAAGGTGGGTGGTGTCCCTCACCTCTGGAGGTCACGGATCTCCAGCCCACACTGCATGGTCCCCAGCACCACGAAGTCCTCCGTGAGGCACATGGCCGTCACCTCCTCATCCAGAGGGACGGAGGAGAGGTGCTTCCCGTTGACCGAGTAGAGGTGCAACGCAAACCTGTCCTGAAAGACAGAGCAAAGACGGGGAAGAGGACACTTGATGGTGACGAGGGAGGGGGGACAAGGGGACACCTGGCCCATACCTTCAAGCAGGCTCGTTGACCTACGGCCGTTTGGGCGACCACCTGCCCCTCCGGCCCCACGGCAAGGTGGGAGAGGACAGCGGGTGGTGAGCTCTCGCCTGGTGGCCGTAAGGACCGGATGAAGAGTCCCCGGCGGATGGTGTGGATGATGAGGGTGCCATCCTATGGGAAGGAGGGGACGTGGAGTGATGGTGGTGGCACTGCCCACCCCCTATCACCCACCCCACCACCCCAAGCTCACCT